CACACACACACACACACACACACACACACACACACACACACACACACACACAGAGAGAGAGGACCTTCACCCCATTTAAGACCTGCCTTTTTGTGCATGTGGACATCTACACACCCTGGACGCTCATCCTGCAGAGGTCTGGACGCACCTTAAGGAACAATCAGAACCATGATAACGGACCTTTGTTGTTGTTTAAGGAGGTTCTTGTAATTCTGTTTCCTTAAGGGCAATCAGAAGTTCTGACTGTTAACTGACACGTGAACAAAGTATTTTAGTCTTCTGGTGTCCAACTAATCACTGTTTATGGTTTATCCTGAGCTAGTTTGTGTTAGAATCAAAGCATTTACTCTTTAAATCTAAACGCTTGGTGAATTCATTTTATTTAACTTTTGTTTTTCCTCAAGTTTTTTTTTGTTTGTTTGTTTGTTTGCTGAGGTAGAGGACATTTTAGTATTTAGGCTGTAATGATGCTTTGAAGTGATTAAAACCTGTTTTTTTTTTTTTTTTCAAACCTTCTGATGCTGAATTATAAGTCCTTAATGTTCAAGTTTTTTTTTCTTTTAACAAAATAAACTAAGATTTAAGGATAAGAGGGGAAACTACTGTATATAATTACAGACATGTTTTTGGCACAAACTGTGGTGGTGTAGTTAAAAAAACATTGGTTCAACTTTTTAAACTCTTGATTCATCTTCCTCATTTAAACTGTTGAGTTAATTGAGTTATTTTTAGATTAAAGCAGATTTAAGATATGCAATTTCTTTAGGTGTAGGAGCATCGTCATCTCTAACTCCTGTATTTGTTTCATTTTAATTAAAGGTTTGTTTTTCCTATTCTTGTTTCTTGTTTAGTCACACAACATTAAGAAAAGTTTCTGTTTATCACCCGTTGTCAGAAGGGAAAAGGGAGATGATGAGCCATCGGACAAATTTTACTGAAGGTAATCAATGATTGGACAACAATATTAATTTAAGGTGGCTGGCCCAGCCAGATGACTTCTTCATAAGAATATCAAAAGTTCTGAGAGGTGGTAGGCGATTTGCATTTATTCAATAAGTGTTTTGATGAAAGAAACCACCTAAAAGCAGTGAGAAAACAGTTTTTTTCCATAAAACATGGGAAAATTGTTTATTTTGAGCTGAAATTAACAGCAAAAAAATTGGGGGGGGAGGGGTTTATATAGCACGTTGCATTATGTACAGACGTTTTCTAAGATTTTTGAAATTAAGGTCAAAATTTTGACTTGTTTCTTAGAGTTACGGGAAAAAAATTTTTTTTGCACCATGGCCCGAATTGTCTTCCGTACCTCTGAGATTTTGGTAATAAAGTAAAATATGGACCAGCTTTTAATGTTAATCTAATAGCTTCATGTACAAATACAAACTTCAAGTACTACTACTGGTTTTATTGAAGCAAAATAAATAAATTGTGTTTTTAATTATTTTTATAAGGAAAACAAATTAAAGTGCACAAATACAGAAAGCTAATGTTAAACAGGAGAGAAGAAAAATGGGGAGCAAAAAGTACGGAGAACAAAAAGAGCCAAACATTAATTATGTAGAACCAAATAAATAAAACATTTTACAAATTAAACCTCTAAAATGTTTCTAAAATATTTCTCATGTTTCTGAAGTTCTGGCAGAGTTCAGGGGTCTGAACTTAAAGGGACAGTTAAGATTTTTGACGTGGGGTCCTATGACACGTTGAGCGTATTTAGAAATGTTTTAGTTTTTTGTATATTACAGTATTATTACCTTTTTTTTTTACACAGTGTGGTTTTCTTTATCCAAAACAAAAAATAATTGGCGAATGAAACAAGATTCAAATTATTTAAAATCTCTAGTAGGTTTGTGACGGTTTACAAGGTTTTAATTTGTTTGTTTGTTTGTTTGTTTGTTTTTTATATATAAAAGGGGTGCCAGCCAGGTATCCCTCCTGACAAGTAGGATATTAGTTTAACCTTGCATTCTAGGAAACCTGACACATCAGGACCATACACTTCATGGTGTAGACCCTTAAAATGAATGACAAAAAATACATATGTTGTTTTTTTTTTGTTTTTTGTTTTTTTTTCTTTTATATATATATATACACACAAAAAATATTCAATAAACAAGACAATAATTATTTACATGTTCTTCTTTTTTTCAGTCCTGTGTTTTCCAANATTACAGGGCGTGTCTAAGAGTGCATCAGGACGGGAGGGGCCGAGGGAGAGAGGAAAACAGTGCAGCCAGCTGATAGCAAACAGCGGGTTGTCACAGGTTGTTTATAAAAATAAAATTTCTATATTTTGTTAGTTTTCGGCTGCCTTCCTGCTGTCTTCATTTTCTCGATTTTCCCTTCATGTTGTGAGCTTAATTAACCAAAAAGTCTTAAAACATTTGACCAATTACTGTCCGTGTGTGTACGTTAGAAGTTCTCTGAATGCAGGGAAATTATCAGCAGAGGTCAGGRACCAGGAAACCAAGATGGAGGCAATAAGTTGAAACTGAGGTAAAAGTAATTTCATAAATAAACATCTTGCTCACTGAAAATCAGGAAGTAAGACAAGTTTTATGGATAATTAATCAGCTGAGATCGTTGCTGAACGATGACTGATTTTGATTATTGCTGGAATAAATAAAAACAGCAGAAAGGAGCAGTGATTAAAAAAAAAACAAACACCAGTGGTCCCAGGCTGGAGAGGAACCGTTCAGTGCTGAAACTCATGAGTTTCAGGAGTGATCTGTGACAAAGGGACAACAAACCAGACATGTTTGATGGTTTGAAGACAGAGACATGGACAAAAGACAGGAGACAGAACAGGAAGTGGCAGAGCTGAATGAGCTGAAGTTCTCCTTGGAGAAGGATGGAGAAAATTAGGTACATCCAGGGCCGTTTCAAGGCCCTTTGGGGGCCCTGGGAAAAAACAGACCTGGTGGGCCCCAACCTGAATGGCCACCCGCTCAAAGTCAGAAAYCACAACATAGACATATTTAGTGTTTAATTTTACCAACACTTTATGTAAACTAAAATAATTTTAGTAAGCAAACATTTTCAAATGCAAACACTTTACACATCAATAAATAAAGTGCAGCACATTAACTTTAAAAGTGCATAATATAAGAACATATTAACTAAAACATATGAACTTTTTCACTGCAGTCATCGTGTGCAAAACATCTGAATCTGCTGCTGCAGAGTTTAGCAAAAGCAACAACAAAGTCTTCCATGTCCAAAGACCTGCACATTCAGCTTAGTCGACATAAGAGCCAGTCCTGAGCCTCTCCTGGACCTCAGCAGACCACATGGTTTTATCATCCCTCCATCCATTTTATTTGACTTCTTGGTTATAATAAAGCAGCGTACAGTATATCTACAGATCCAGTTGGTGTCCTGAGTGACTTTTACTGCGGCTGCACTTTAATGCTGCTGCGTCATTCATCACGCTTCGTTACAACACATCAGCCTTCTCATCAAATATTCATTTCAGGGTCTGATTGTTGAGCAGGCCCTCCCTCTCACTTCACTTTTTTTATTATTATTTTTATTTATCATCCTGCAACATGAAAACTCAACTCAAGCTGCCTCTTTGTAAAGACTTTTCTCCAGAACTACACTAGTGCCGTCGGAATCGTTTAATCTGTCTTATTATGTTAGTTTCCGGCCTGCAGCGGTGCTAAACTCCTCTTTAACCCCCTCTGGGAGATAAACACCATCAATTCTGCGGGGTTTAATAGTCCTGAGGCTCATTTTATATTCAAACACCTCTCTGTATGCCTTCAGAGAGGTGCTTCAGTCTCCTCTCTCTGCCTGCTTTTGTCTTTTTCTTTCCCCCGTAGATTATTTCTCTCTTCTCCATCAGTGTCCTGACAGAGGCTGGAATAATCCCTGCCTGTCTTTATCCTCCATGAGCCTCATTTTCGTTATTTTCCTGGAAAATGGATTTCACTCTTACACAATATTTATTTGGTGGACATTTTTTAAATATATTGACCCAGTTTGCAAACATATTGATATTTTAGAGCTGAAGGTTTTTACATAAATGTGTCAAATTGCATGAAACAGACTGTTAAAGTTCTGATCCGCAACAGGTAAGATGTTTACTGCCCATCCCTTTTAAAAATATTAGAAAATATAAAATATGTTTGTTTTTTTCATAATTATAAACTTGATGATGTGAAGCTGACTGATCCACTTCTGCAGCTCCAGTCATGTCCGGATCAGTTCCAGCCTCCTCCTCCATCAGCTGCGTCCCCTCCCTCCCTGATCCCAACAAATGCGGGCGCTCCATGAGGGGGCTCATCAGAGTCCTGATCCGCGGTTTCTGACTCTCATCGTCCACGTTTTGCATTTTAAAGCCGATCAACCCGTGGACGTGGAGCGCGCGCTCGCAGGAAGAGGAGACGGGCTGTGCGCGCAGGACCACTCCATCTCCGGTGATCTTTGCGCAGSGCGGACAGAGGACATGCCCACCGCCATCCAGGCGCAGCGGAAGCCGTGAAAAGAGCTGGACGCACGCGCGCGCGGATCCCTCAGGTTTCAGCTGGGAGAGGTTTGGTACAGGACCATGAAGTCCAGGAGTCAGGATCTGAGTCTGTCCGACTCCAGGGAGCTGGACAGATCCTACGACCCGCTCACAGGTGGGTTCTGGTCACCAGCGGGTCTGCGGGTTCGTTTGGGTTTTAATCTCCCAGACAGGCGCGCGCCCTCTGCTCTGATCAGTTTGTTTGGTTTGAGGATTTAAAGTCTGTTACATCAGGAGGTCAGTGGATGTTGATCCTCAGCTGCTGCAACTGTCTCTGAAATCTTACCTCCACGTGACCTTTAACAACAAAGTCTGTCAGGAAAGTAATGTCTGGTGCGCGCGCCACGTGACGTCAGGATCTGCGTTTTTTTGGTTGTTTTGTCCAGTTTTTTTGTTTGATTTTGAAGTTTATTCTCTTTGGATTGTGTTTCATGTGATTAATTCTGCTTCTCGTGCTTTAATTTCATTTAAACTCTGTGCCATCAGTCACTTCTACTTCCTGTTTCACCTGTCACAGCTGCAGCCACTTCTCTCATCAGCCTCAGTCCTTTTAGTTCCTCAGTTTCCCTTCAATCTGACAATTGTTGGTTCTTACGCCACTTCTAGTTCTGTAATTAGTTTTTTTCTTATCATGCCAGCTTTTTGTTGTTGTTTTCTGWTAAAGTTTAGTTTTATTTTGGAGCTCCTTCAACACAACACTGACACCAACTCAGTTCACAGGAAGCCACTGATAAATGACCAATTAGCAGWTGGGAAGCATCAGTCTAATAATCACCATTAATGATGATTAATTATTTAAGAAGGAAAAAAAAAAGCAATTTGTGGTCTCAGCTTTTTATAGGAGTCTTTTTTTTTCCATATTGATGGAACAGAAAACATCAACTGAGCTGTTGAGAAATGAGTTGTCCTTTTAATCAAACCTTGAAACAATATTTTTATTCTGAGACACTCAGATCAGACTGGTGTGAATGACTCTCAGTCTTGACTACATCAAATTTCACCTCAATATCTGGTAAATCAACTCACTTATAACCCTCTTTGTGTTGGCTCGTGTGGATTATTCTCAGCTACAATCAGAACAAATTTAAGGTGTCTGTAAAAATCACTGAACCATATAATCATTTTTGTCAAACACTTGGCTGTGGCGGCCATCTTGAATTGGACTGACTATAAATGTTAATCAGATGCACATTCACTTTCTGGAAGTAAATCTGCCCAGTGGTTCATGAGATATTTTACTAACAGACAARCAAAACTCTTCAACAAAACGCTGGAGTTTTAGGAAAGATGTTGAACAAACATGGAGTAGAACCTGGATTAAATTTTGTGGATTATTCTCAGCTACAATCAAAACAAATTTGAGCACGATGTCTTCAAAATGGACTGAATTACAAACATGTTTTGTGTTTTTTAAGGTCACCTGACTGTGACGGACATCTTGAATTTGATTGTCTCCAAATGTTAATTAGTTGTAGAGGCTGGTCACATGTTTACTGAATGTTTCATTAAAAACCAACAGACAGACCTACCTTCAGTTTTACAGAAAAAAGAGCTAAACTTTGTGTGGTAGTAGCTGAGAGTCATCCTTAAACACAGTCTGAGTGAGTCTCAGACATTATTTACAACGTTTGACCAAAAAAAAAAAAAACTTAACCTTTTCTCAGAATAAAATGTTTTAGCGCAGATTTTGGGGATTAAAGGTTGGCGATGTGCCTTTTAATCACTTTAAATTATTCATCAGCTAATATTAGTTTGAAATGGTCAAAGAACCAACTTAAATTTTGTTTTTATCTGTTTTCTGAAACTTGAGTATCCTTCTGTGTTTTTTTTGAAGTGATTTTGTTCTAGAAGAGGTGATGAAGAAAGATCCGAGCCTCCTGGCCTTCAGGTCCAGGTCGAGTGTAAAACATCTGCGTCCGGCTCCACGGAGGGGAGAGAGAAAACAGACTCCTCTCTCACCTGTCAGCCCCAGGCTTTTTTTAGCCGCAGGGGATCGGTGACGCTCCTCTTTGTGTTTTATTTTCTCCCGGAGATCACACAGATTTCTCAGCTCTTTGTGGAGCCGCTTCGTCGTCCTCGTGACAACTTCCAGAAATAGTTTTGTTTCTGTGAAACAAGCGCCAAAAAAATGTGTAAAAATAACTCAGAAAGAGCCAGAGAGAGGTGAGCTCTGTGTTCTCATCGGGATGGTTTTAGGTTTAAAATGGAGGATTTAGTGGAGAGTTTAGGGTTCGTTTTAAGGTTTGCTGACATGATCTGGTGTGAAATCAGCTTTAGCTGCAGGTTAAACAGTGAACAGGTGTGCACAAACAGTGAACAGGTGTGCACATGAACAAACAGCCTGAGGGACAGAACCTGATGTAAAACACTGAGAATTCATGCAGAAACCAACAATGGGAACATGTGTAAAAAACATTTATCAGCTCAGTTTGAAAGCACTCAGATGTTTTTCATGTAAAGGTGCTGAAAATGTGTTTATCAGAGTCTCTGGATTCAGAGGTTTCTCTTCTCCAACACACCTTTGATTTCCAGGCAGAACCCAAAGAGGTGATTCAGTCACTATCAGATTTTTGGAGCAGAGAAACAAGTCAAACCTTTCAGTTTTCTCTCCTTGGTGGAGCATCATGTTGCTTCTGCACTGAGCCTCGTGGTTTTCAGTTTTGCTGCCATGCTGGTATTTTTGTCTTGTTTTATAAAATAAGGTTTAGAATTTTGAATCTGCATCTTTGGGTCCAACTACCTCCAGTAAACCGAGACATTTCCGCCCAGGACATTGACTAAAATTTTAATGTAAGAATATGAATTTGACAGTTTAGATTGTGGTTGTAACATACACGTGTCATTTTATCTGGCCCCAAAGGTAATTAGTTGTTCTTTTTGTTGCTGGATTTGATGCATTCTTCTCAACTTTCAAGAAAATTAGATTTGAGTTTTTCAATAATCTTTCATTTTGATGTGGAACAAGCAACAGAGAAATAACAAATTATTTGTATTATTCTTTTCTTACCCCCTGAGACCTGAGCCTTTTCTGGGTGTTCATTTTTTTTCTCTAAGATACATGGGATTAGTAGGACCTAATAAGTATAATAACCAGATTCTGTCATGGTACAGGAAGTGGTATTTCCAAAAAAATAAAAAATAAATAAATTATGTCCTCATATGAGGACATTGGGTCTCAAAATGTTACGCTTTTTGAGGACTACCTAAGAAACTACCATGCAAAACTTGAGAAACTTCATTACAGCCTTTCTGGTGGTTTCATTTTCCTAGCTATTTTGGCAATACAGCAGCCAGCTGTTGACCAGAGCAGGATTAGAGAAGCACATCATCATCATCATCATCATCGACAACTTTCAGATTGCTCTTCAGCTTGAAGAACATATTACGTGACGTTAACTGCAGGAAATCACAGACCACTTGACCTGAACATCATTAATTGGATGAACAAAAATATCACTTGCAAGAACTATTTGTGCTTGTGAACTGTTCCAGATTTGTTTAACAAAAATCTCTGACCAAATATAYCACTTACACTAACTATTTATATTTGTAAACTCTTTTAAATATTTGCAGGTTTGTCCTACCTCATGGCACAATTAATAACAAAATTATTGTCCCAATGTCCTCAAATGAGGACTTTATCTTTACTGACATTGTAATTTGCTTCACTTGTAAAAAAAAAGTTATTTTTGCTTGTCTTATAAAGCTAAAGATGCAACTGTGCACAAATATGCTGATTTCAAGCGTGAAATGTTACTTCCCGCCATCTTGTTTTCACTCAAATGAGTGTAATATTGTTATGGGACCACTAGAGGGCGCTGGTAGTGTCTATTAATGAGGACAATGGGTTAAAGTTGAAAAAAAAAGATACATCATGGGTAGAGAGTCAAAAACGCAATGTCCACATATGAGGACGTAATGTGTCTAATAATGTACTTTTTAGTGCAGCATTTTTTTAGCTGATTTTCTGGGTTGTGTTAAAATGTAGCTCTAAGAAATAATACATGAAACAGTTGTGTATAGAGAGTACGATATAAGAAATTATTTTATTTACAGTTATTTAACCAGGCAAGTCCCGTTGAGATCACAGATCTCTTTTTCAAGGGAGGCTTCGGCTTGAAGACAACCTATTGTAATGTTTTTGAATGAAAACTAATGATGAGTCTTTCTAAATGTAATTTTTTTTCTTTATGTGTTAGGTTATATATGTTCTAAAACGTTACATAAAACATCCTTGGAAAAGGTCATTTGCATTTCTATAAGATTTCTTAGTTTTATAACAAATTGGCCCTTGGTTTGGTCAAAGCTTTGAATTTTTTAGTTTGACATCCCTGTTATAATGTGGCAAAACTAAGACTTCAGTTTTTTAACTTTTTATTTTTCATGTCAGAGAAAACCTTTTTTTATTTTTATTTTTTACAATGAATATGGGGCAGAGACACACGCAGACAGTTGTGTTGGTGTTTCTTTTGTAAATCTGAACTCTGCGTCCTTCTCAGGGATTATTGTAAATGCGGAGGCCATTGCGATGGCAACGTTACAGCTCTCCATTCATCGCCCTGGCTAAGCTGTTGTGACCTCCAAAAACTAAAACACTACTCCGAATACAGACGAAGGAACAGTATTTGTACTGTTTTTATCTCAAAATGTTTAAAATGTTTTATGATCTGATTAAGTGTTTAAATTTCCTSCATATAACTTAAAGTTACTTTTGTTTTTACAACTTTATGCCTTTTTTAAGTATAGTGTAGATAAAAATAAATTTTGTGTAAAGAAAAGTCTGGATTTAAGGATGATGTTGCAAAAAGGCGGTGTCTTCAATCTTTTAAACTGATTCTAGTATCTCTAACTTTCCATCCAACACAGTTTTAGTCATTTATGTTGATGAGTAGAAGAGGGAAAAAAGAGCTTTTAATTGTTGCTGCTAACAAGGAGACGAGCGTATCGATCAGCTCAGGAGGGCTGCAGCTCTTTGAATCGATTCCATCAAAGTCACCCAGAGGTTCTCTGGAGGTGAGAAAAGGCTGCAGCGACAACGAAACCTGAACTCAGACTGAAATAAATGTTCCTGAACACCTCACAGAACGAGCTGCAGGCAGCCATCTGAGAAACAAACAATTAAAAAAAAAMAACCTCTTGTTTTCAGGTAATCCTCCATCCAGACCTGCCAAAAAGACCCTGAAGCAGCGTTTTCTCAAACTGCTGCCCTGTTATCACTCCGGATCAAGGTCTTCAGATATTCAAAGCAAGTTCTCTTCATTTTTCTGCATTCATGGACTCAACTCTCTGAGGAAAACCTAAAAAAACGTCCTGTGTTTCTTGCAGAAAGTATAGCTGATGAGGGAGAACTATCCACCGTGCATCACAGACCCGTGGGCCTYGACAGACTCGTTCAACAAACCAAATTCAACAAGAAGGAGCTGCAGGTTCTCTACCGCGGATTCAAAAACGTCAGTTCATGTTCTTCGGTTACCACGAGCGTGCAAAACTCTAAGGCTGCAGATTAGCCCCTGTTGGTTCACGGAGGCTGTGATTTATGTGTTCCTGACAGGAGTGTCCCAGCGGCGTTGTGGACGAAGAAACCTTTAAAAGCATCTACTCACAGTTCTTTCCTCAGGGAGGTACACTATCTTCTCCTCCTCCTCTTCTTTTGTTGTGTTTTTAAACCTTCTAAAAGTTGTTTGGGAAAACAAGAACAGAGACTTAAAAGTGCAAACTATGAAATCAAAATGACGCAGTTTGAAATTTTCCAGATGTTGACATGCAGTTCGGGTACGCACTCAATATAAACAAAGCATTTATCTGTTTTTGTTAACATAACTGAGCATTAATATGTGGTTTAAAATATAAGGACACATAAAAGAGAAAAAAAATAGTGTGAAGTTTGTTTCTTATGTTGCACTGAGTACCTTCAGGTTTTCTGTGATCCTTCAGTAACTTGGATAAACTTCACTTTTATTTATGAAGCAGTTAAAACAGCGACGAGGCCAACCCAAGTGCTGTACAATAAAACAAAGAAGTAAAGGATGAAATACAATAAATAATAAGCAGTAAATAAAAAAATTATTGCATGATGCAAGCTGAAAGAAAATACCATGTTTCAAATAGAAAATTAACTTTATTAGTTAAAAGAACAGATATTTAAGTAGTGGTAAGCAGAGTTGTAAAGTAACTAAGTACAAATACTTTGCTACTGTACTTAAGTAGAAATTTTGGTTATCTGTACTTTACTTGAATAACTATTTTTCAGTGTAATTTTTACTTTTACTCATTACATTTATCATAATTATTTACACAATTATCTGTACTTTCTACTCACTACATTTTTTTAAAAAAGATAAGAAGTAGAAAGTCGTTACGCCTATTTTATTCTGAGTTGTTAATACTTAAAAAAATACTATCCTGATAAACTGTGTCTCCCGGATAGAGTGAATTTAATTGTGTTTGGATGAGAAGTATAAATATATACCATTCTGACACCTTATTAACTTGTACCCATCACAGCTGCACGCTGTTAGAAAATATATTTTTGGAGAAGTCACCTTACAATAAATGTCATTTTGGAAAATCTAACTGCTCACTTTTACTCAGAAGTTTTACTTTTAATACTAATACTAATAATACTTTTACTAATAATAGATTTTGTGTCAGAAATTTACTTTTGATACTTAAGTACAAAAGATATCAGATACTTTTAAGACTTTTACTCAATATTTTTAGAGAAGACCAACTTTTACCAAAGTATTTTTATGATAAGATACTTGTACTTTTACTCAAGTATCACTTTAAGGTACTTTATACAACACTGGTGATAAGTTTAAGTTTTGTTGTGGAAACTTGTCAGTACAGATCAAGTTGTTGGCTTCTTTTCTTATTTTAGATTCAAGCATGTACGCACATTTCCTGTTTGAAGCTTTTGACACCCATAACAACGGATTGGTCAGCTTTGAAGTAAGACTCATAAAAAACATTATTTGCCTACATTTTGCTAATTTGTTTCACTTTAATCTTCCTTAAAATCACTTTCCTGTCATATTTTTAAAACTCTCCCTGCTGCAGGACCTGGTTCTAAATCTGTCCATCATCCTGCGAGGCTCCATCACCGACAAACTCAACTGGGTGTTTAACCTGTACGACCTCAACAAGGACGGCTGCATCACCAGAGAGGTGAGACCAGAGGCCCTCAGAGTTTGTGTCGGTGTGCTCCTACCTGTTCAGCAGCTCCTGTCTTTTTTTTGTTTGTTTGTTTGTTTGTTTCTGCTCCAGGAGATGACGGACATAATGCACTCCATCTACAGCATGATGGGGAAGCACACCTACCCCAGCCTGAAGGATGCTGCGAAAGATGCTCCGAAAGAACACGTCGACAGCTTCTTCCAGGTCAAAATCAAATGTTCTGCACATCTTTAACGATTAAAAACTCAACTAAAATATGCAGAAAACATAAAAGAATCACCATCCAGTAAGACTCTGACACATTTATGATTTTTTTTTTCAGAAAATGGACAAAAACAAAGATGGGGTGGTCACCATCGAGGAGTTTTTAGAAACGTGTCAAAAGGTTGTTTTTGAAGTTGAATAATCTCATCTATCAGTGATGCAAAGCTCACACACTTCTTTTAAAACAATCACATTTTTGCTCCTCCATCCAGGACGAGAACATCTTGCAGTCCATGCACATGTTTGATAACGTGATCTGAGCGCTGGCATGAAGGAGATCCATGTTCCTGGTCTGCTGGGAGCCCAACAGGAGGAGACAGGAGGTCCTACCTGAGGGTGACCACTCCCAAAGCCACCTTTTCCAAAAGACTGACCAGGAGGAGCCGAGTCTTGACGTACAAAATGTGAAATTTAGAGTCTAAATTTAGAGGAAGATGTGAAAAGTTCAGTTCACGTGTAAGAAATTGATGTAAATGTTCTAAAACATGCAAGTTTCTGCATCTTTACTCCTGAGAATGATCAGACTTTTCTCTTAACACTTGAGCAACAATGTGAGACACCAGTGAAAATATGTTGCACGTTTTGTACGCACGCATCACATGATGGAAGACAAAGTATTCAGTTGAAACAACAAAAAAATATCACTTATAATGTAATTTGTGTTCGCATGATGCACTTATTTTTACTGACCTCTAAAATGTTTATTGAAATTGGAATATATATTTTTCTATGCAACAGATTATCTGCAAACATGTAATGTAATTTTTAACCTGTTGAATGTGTGCAGTTGCATGTAAAGGAAGGCCTCAGATTGTTTTAAACAGGATTTTCAGAGTCGATACGTTGTTTAAAATCATCTTTAATCATCTCTTGCACCGGTGAGCGATGTATAAAATATAAAATGATTCCCTCTGTGTTGTGACTCTTTTGAAGCAGCTGAATAAATAAATGTAAAATTTGGTGTCAATGACAAAATTGAGATTCAAGGAACTATGAATTCACTCAATTTTAACCTCTTCTTTTTAAAAAGAGGGAAAATATGTCCAGAAGTGTTTTGTTACTTTATAAAGCAGATTCAAAAACCTAACCAATCAGCTTGCAGTTTTCAGTGTGGGAAATTGTGCCCCCTTGTGGTGGCTGAATTTTACATTACAGCAAAAAAGTTTTATTTTTAACATTAACAGCTGTACAGTATATATTAAACAAGCACTAATTTAATTATTGAATATATTTCAATAATCTGAWCCCATGTAAGCTCTGTATGCTAATGAACAGGATAAATTTTAAATCATCATACGAGTCTGTTCCTCCAAATCATATTAATGTTGTCATTTCTGATGTTTAACTCAAAAACCACCACACACAGCAACAGGTTTAATATATCCTTTATTTTTAATAAACAAAATTTCAGTAAAAACTCTTATGACGTAAGAAAGAAAATAAATTTCCTGTCAGTAGTTTGTTCCAGCTGTAGGGCCACACAGACTCACGTTAAGATTAATTATCAAATCTGTCAAACCTAAATCATCATTATCGAACTTTTAACTTCAGCCACATCTTTTTAAAATTTATTTACTTTAAAAAAAATCATAAACACATTTGTTAAAATTTTGGTGAGTACACTAAAGTAGTCCAATAACTTTTAAAAGATATGAGAAAATAAAAAATAAAAAAGCATCTTGCTCATCTTCACCTGTTGTTCTTTTAAAGCCTCTTTGTTTGCTCCGACTGAATTATTGCCACAAGAAAAAGCGAATCAAATCCACTTTCGGCTCTCAGTGGGACGACGACAGAACAAAGTGTAAAAACTACAGCAAAGACGAGATTGTTAAAAAAAAGGCATAAAACATGTCGGTGAGTAGGTGCACGTTGAGCCACCACTGGCAGTGTTCTCAAATATTACTTTTTTTTTCCTTTTCATTAAAAAAAAGGGAAGAGGCTACACGATTATCATCACAAAATAAAAATCTCTTTGGCATAAAAACACCCACCCAGAAGCGCAAACACACACACTCACATGCACACGGCTCTTAGGTTTTCGAACAGAAACTTACGAGCATCGTCACGGTCATTGAAAAATCAGAAAAATTACTCTATATGAAACACAAGTCGAGCCCTGTTAAGATTATGAGTCCCTTACTCGATGACAATTGCATATATTACAGCAGGCGGAGAGCAGAGGAAGTTATCTCTACAGGTGACTAAACTCTACTCGTCTTCATCCCTTTGTGTCCCACTTTAGGTCCTCTGCTTCCTCCTCATCCTCCCGTTGGTTGTCCTGTAAGAAAAGAGGACAAATCTGAGTTGACTRGGTGATAAAACTCTGATATATATCGTGATCAGTGTCAATAGAATGTTGATGATTTTCAATGAACTCCAATCCAGGACCGCACGGCRTTCTGGGGGATGTAGGCAGAGGAAAGGAGCTGTTCGACCTCTCAGGGTTCAGSATCAACTAACTTGCTCACTCGGATCAGCTAACAAACGACAACCTGCTGAGTAACATGCAGCAGTTTCACGTTTCTCCACCGKGCATCAGAACTGAGAAAACGAGGCTACAGCTCGAGAGGAAATGGTGGATAAAAGAGGAAAAGTCACATCAGTTTGGCAGGATTTCAGATGTTTTTAAGTTTGAAAACCGTGTGAAGTCGTTCCTTTTAAAACAAAACACTAACCCTAACAAATCTTCAGAGTCAAGTCTTTTTTTCATCAAATCTTGTTTTTTGGATATATAGCAGTGTCATCGACGTCTGGCAGTGGAACGAGCAGGAAGTGCCTGCCTGACAGCAGTGCCACACCACAAAACATCAGAACGTTAAGAAACAACAGATGCTGTGGCCTATYCTTTAGCATGTATGCCAATATGTTTAACAGGTTTTTATAGCTGAACTATTTAAAAAAAGGTTACATTTAAAATAAAATATTCAGCTTTTTTTTCCTCCCTGGTCCCCACGGGTACCCTAAATAGGGTAGAACTAAAAACGAACCATAATTAAATAAATAGAACATAAACTAATAAGATATAAAACGCTTATATTGTGAAACATTATTAAGTCATATCACCAAACCTTAAGTTGACTAAGTTGGTTATCTGTTTATATTACTGGCTGTAAACTGACACCATGATGGACTTGCTGAGTGTGTGAGGACGAAAACATTTTGTTAGGAGGAAGGATAAAATGAGACGTCACTGAAACTCAACCCATGAGCAAAGTCTGTAACATGTACAAATGTATTCAATTCTAACTGTACCAGTTTATTTATTTCATMCTGATAACAAATAAGTCTTTATTTTTTTATTTTTTATCTCCGAGCTGGAAATGTTCCCAGATTTAGTTTCAGAAATATGGTCCCCCTACTTTAAAAGTTTTCAAGAAAGATGACTTGTGAGGACTTGTGAGCGTGCCGCTGGAGTCAGGAAACCWCTTTTAACTGCAGATACCGAGCTAAAACCTGGGGTGGTAGAAGCCGAGCGTAATCTCAAACACACACTCTGAGTCCTTACAGATTACRCAAGAGTCAACCCCGTCTGTTAGCAAAATATCTCATAAACCTCTGGACAAGTGTAGCGAAAAGAATCACTGAACGTCAACCAAACTCAAGCCCAAACTAAAAACTGTTTTAGGGAGTGAACGGTTAATTTAATTCACTTTATAATACAGATTACAAAAACCAGGTTTTTAAGAGTTTAAASCTGAATAATAAGTCGTTCCCACATACTGACCGTTAATAATCAGGGTACTGTCTGTCATAGGCCATGCCGCCTGGATATTCCTCCGGCATCATGTGTCCATCCATGCCATCCATGGGCATGTCACCTGCGTATCCATAACCCTGGAAACCGGCATCCATTTCTAAAAGAAAAAAACAACATTTGTTTCAAAACAACACATGAATGCGTTTATTTACAACGACACGTTCACCACGATCGTGCTAACTTTAAACACTTTGGGGGAAGTTAGAAAAAAAAAAGCTTAAAGACGGGGTGAATATTTTTAGCAAAGCTTTTTTTCCTGAAGCAGAGATGAGCCGCTGCGGTTTCTCTCAACTTCGCTGGAGTCGCTCTGCTCAGACAGAAAATACTTAAACCATAAAAGGAAGAATAAAAAAAAAGGGGAGAAAGAGAAGGGAACGGTGGGGATTAGGTGGAGAAAAATGCAAGCGGAGATAAGCTCGACGAAGGGGAAAAAGGTTTAGGTATGACCTAAGAAGAAGAGTTTCATGAGTAAAAAGGGATAGTGCTGCTTGGATTGAAGTCTAATCCAATTTATCACAACCATCAGAAACACAAGTGGAGTTCTATTCCCAGCAGTCAGATGTGTGTAAATAAAGTCTGCAGGCACTTTAGTGCTGCGGGTGCAGTGTGTGGTGGAGTGACCCGCTGCTCAGGAATGTGCTGTGAGCGCACATATCAGCTGCAGTTACTCACCCTCTGGATAGGTTCCTTCCATGACGACAGTGTTGTGGGCCTGCGGAAAGGTCACAAGAAGGAGAAAGGTCAACCACAGCCAGTGCTTCTACATTATTAATACGTTTCAGTCGCGTTTCAACACGATACGGCTGGAACTGAACGTATGAAGTGTGTTTGAGTGGCAGCAGGGGGCGCCACGCACTCACCGCCTCCCAGGCACTGGGGTCGTGTTTGAACAGGGTGTGCGTGAGCTCCACCGACACGCGCTTCTTGTAGTCGGACGCCTTGTCCTCGGAGATGCGGAAGAGCACGGCGGCGGCGTACGTAGCTGGAGAGAAGGATTCAGCAGAACGCTCAGCCAAGCAGAAAAACACATCAAAACAAAACCGTGGGGACTTTAACTCCTGCGAGGAGCTGGACTGCATCGTGACGAGCTTTCTGCAAGGTCTTATTTAGAGTATTTTATGGAGTCTTATCATGTAAATAYGGGTAAAACTCCTGCCAATGTCAACATTAAGAAATATTTGGGTCAAAGAAGAATGAATGCCAGTATAAGGAGGCAGGTCTTTACKAGGCGCAGACCTTAAAGTCCCYGTTATGTCAAATTTCTGTCATAAATATTAATAAATGTGACCCGTCACATAGAGACGAGGACTAAGTMCAAAAGTRGAATGTGGAGAAATAGCCAGATAAAGGGTTTTGATTTAACCAAGTGAAAAAATTGCATTTTATCAAAATATAATGAATTAATGCCTTATCAATGTATCATTTGAATGAACTGAAATATAATCCTAAAAAAAATTTGAAGCATTTTTTGAGCTGTAGCAACAAAAAAAACTGATTTTGAGGAAAAAGCCTTAAAATTGAGTTTTTTGTTTCTTTCCAACTGAGAAATATTAATATACTGTACAATTACTACAAGGTTTCCTTTTTTATATTAACATCAAAAATTACTCAATAAATTTAAATGAAATTAGGATTCAGACCAAACAGTTATGTATTATCCTAACCAACAAGACAAACTAAAGTATCAAAATGTAGCTTTTAAAGCAGGAATCTGAAAATGTAATTAGGTCATTTTGACCAAATTTGACTTAATCATCATTTTGATATGATGGGTCACATATATTTTATTAGATAACACAGGTAGCGTATTGCAAAAAAAGAAAATTCATGTCGCTGAGATAAACGGTTGTTGAGATATTTGCAAGTCAGGTGACAGGAAGTGATGTCAAAGAGGAACGTCTGCATGTAAACAAAGCATTGCACAATAAACAACACAGACTGTAAAGAAGAATCTGACTTTTAGATTATTTTGAGCCACTACCAGAGAGATGAAGAGGCAGAGTTCAAATAATATTGTTTTAATAAACAAAAACCAGGGAGTTTTTTATTTTATTTTTCAAGACTTCACCTTTGATGTCACTTCTTGTTTCACGTTTACTGAACCAAATTCAAAAGAAAATGTGTCAGTTAGGTAACAAAATGTGTAAAATCATGTATTATGTCAAGTTTCTTAAATTTAAAGAGGTTTTCTTTAASTTTTTGTATTTGAAGGACATACTCGTCACATGAACTTTAAATCTGATCAAACCCTTAAAAAGGTGAGTTTTGACTGCTAAAATAGGGTCAGGTAAATGCTCCGAGCAGGGATCCTAAACGATCAAAGCTGCGATCACATTCAGTTCAGGTACCTGGAAGCTGCACTTAGAGTAAGTACAACACCCTTAATGCTACATTACAGTAAGCTGATGTCAGCGTGTTATCTAGACGCGTACCGATGCCCTCGTTGCTGGAGTGCAGCAGCTCCATCAGCGGAGCCGCCGCCCCCTCGGCGTCGATCGTGTCGGCGGACTGCTTGTCCAGGGCCAGCTCGCACAGGGCGCCCGCCGCCACGCGCTTCACGTTGTCCACTGGAGAGTAGAGAAGCTGCGGAGGAGAGGACGATGAGCCGAATAAAGCCTGACAAGATGAAATAATTTAAAAAAAAAAAAGAAAATCAACCAGCTGAGAGTTCCTACCTGAACGAAGAGAGGAATGGTCTGTGTGTTTGCGATTTCRCTTCTGTTGATGGGATCTCTGGCCAGGATGTGCAGAGCTCCTGTGCAACCCTCCACAATCTCCTCCATCCTCACACCATCCTGACATGAAGAGAGTTATCAGAAACATGTTTTTTTTCTTCCACTGCCATCAGTGAGCTCCACGTGACGCCAGCCCCTCCACCCACCTGGTAGGTCTGCTGGTTGGATGATCCGTGTTTCTGGGCGTCCTGGTGGGCTTTGAGCAGGAGGTTGACCAGACGGGGAATGACTCCTGCATCCCTCAGAGGGGCCTGGTTCTCTGGGCACAGGGCGAGGTTACGGATCAGGCCGACCACAGCCTTCAGGACACACGAACAACAAATAAAAATCATGAAAGAGAATGTCTCAATCAGTAAAACAAGAACTGAAAACAACCTCGTGGTTTTCCTCATATCGCTCCTTCTGGCTCAKTGACACTTTGACCTTTAGCTTTCAGCCCCACCTGCTTTTCCATCTGTCCGTTCTCCAGTTTTTATTTATTTATTATGTCTCAAAGGTGCTTTTTTATCTTCACTTTTTATATTTTGTTCCCCATAGCCCATTTTTTTCTCTTCTCTTTAGCCACATTGCAATTGTGCAACTTTGAACAAAATTATAAATGTTTTAATGAGATGATCCGTTTTTCTTCTGGATGTTTTTTGGCACATAACTCATTACACATTTATTTTTTAATTCTATCAAAAACTTTCAGCTCATTTACATCCCAGGTGCTTTGACTTTTGGTATTTCAGCAACTTTTTCAGCTAATTCAATTTAATTAAAAATACTTTATTCATCCCAGAGAGAAATTAAATATTTGCCTTTTAGTTTTTTCTGCCATTTCTCCCCTCTTTGTAAATGAATACAGCTGTCTTCAAACGCCTTAAAACAACTAAAAAAAGATTTTTTTCTGCTCCTTTCAGCCATTGTCCTGTTAATTAAAATTTTATGATTCTTTTAGCTGATATCTGCTGTTTTCTTTTAGATTTTTCTGCAATGTTTTTTTTTCTCTTTAAAAATAAATACAGCTGTCTACAACATCCTTAAAACCTAATTGTTTCTTAATCTTTACTGCAGTTTTTAAATCTTTTRTTTTGGTTCTGCTTTTTAACATGTTTTTGCAAATTTCAGCTTCAACTACTTTTTTTGTGCCAATTTTATTTTTCTTTCTCCTTCTTTCAGTCATTCTGTTGATTAAAACATTTTATGCTTCTTTTAGCTGGTAGCTGCTGTTTTCTGCCTTTTATAGCTACTCTGTAGCCATTTGAAGCTAGTTTTAGCTTTCTTCATCTAAATTCACTTTGTGTCAATTTTACCTTTTTATCTAATTTCGGTTGCTTTAGATATTTTACAACAAACTGAAACTTTTTGTACTCCTTGTTTTTCTGTCAACGTGAGCTTTACTCCATCTGCTAATTTCAGCTCCCAGTTTTTCTTCCAGTTTACTTTAGTTTTCCAACTTTCAGCTTTTCAAATGTAAATCACATAAACAGTTTTGCTTTTAAACATTCAGTTTTTTCAGCAGCTTTCAGGAAAAATCCTTTAACATTAAACATTCACAAAACATTTGTTCTTTTTCATGAGGATTAATCCCAGTAGAAATGTTCAATCACTCCTGACAGAGTTAAGAATCTGCAGGGTTATGAGTAAAACTAGAAAATGAGATTTTGCCYCGGTTCCCCTCCACGCTCAGAATCACTCCCCCACCCTGGTCCAGCAGCCCACCTTGACGACTGGGAAGCGGTACGGCGGGTTGATCAGCTTGACGATGGCGGGGATGCCGTAGTGGTTCCTCACTGCGTGCTGGGCCAGCTCGGCGTTCTGGTGGCGCGAGGTGAGGTGGCGCAGGGCGCAGACGGCGGGCTCCGTCACGTCCTCCTTCTCCCCGGCACGCAGGATGGTGTGGATGAGCGCCTCCACGCCGTTGCTTTGGGTGACCAGAGATTTGTTGTGGGCGTTGTTGCACGTGAGGTTGGACAGGATGCCCGTGGCGCAGGTGAGCATGTTGAGCTCGTCTGAACTGAGGAGGCCCACCAGAACCTGCAGCAGGCTGTCCATTCCCTCCTGGATGAGGCGAGAAGACACGTTTCTCGTGAGCGGGTCATTTTGTTAGCGGACATGGAGGTCTTTAAAAGGGTGAACTCGGACCTGTTTGGTGGCGGCGTCGGACAGGTTCCTGAGGGTCCACAGGCAGTTCTGCGTCAGACGCTGGCTGGTACCTGTGAGATGTTTGCCCAGAGCCTGCATCCCACCTGACGGGACAGAACAAAGCAGGGAAGTCAAAACATTACCAAATTAAAAAATAAAAAATAAACAAAATTTTTAAACCCTGCTGAGCTCCTGAACTGTTTCATATGTTAATATTATTGCATGCGAGCGTTAGGAGTTCACTTCCACTGTGATAACTACAAAACACGAGCTGCAGCAGAACTGGCTGGACTGGTTTCAACCCTTCACAATAAAAGCCTCAAACAGACACATGCTAACTTTCACTAAATACTTTGAAAATTCCTGGTGGTCTGGTTTCCTGAAGAACAATAATATCATCTAGTGTCACAACCTTTACAGTTTTTTAAGGTTAGCACTCAGTCGATTTGTTGGAGACTCTGTTTTTAAAGCCAGTTGTGAAAGTTCCACCGCAGCTGGAAATAAAGCCACACCCTGGATAGGTTCGAGCAAAGTTTTGCAGGTTAATTTGTAGTTAAGTCAGTGCACTCATAAACTGATAAATATGGTGTCATCGTAAAGAAAAGGCTACAAAACGTTGCTCCGCCTGAATATTTACCTTGTACACACAGGTGTGTTCTACCACACACACCTACTATGTCTCTCTGTCCTTGTGGGGACTTTCTATCGACTTCCATTCATTTATTGTTAATTTTATATACTAACCCTGACAATTTATTTACCCTAAAACTAACCTCACAGGTACCTACCTGACCCTAAAACAAACTTAAACTCAATTCACACCTTGGTCCTAAACCCAACCCCCACACCCAAAATCAGCCCCTGAAGTCGTGGGGACTGGGCTTTGGTCCCCACAAGGCTGCATTTTCCTGAGAAATCGTCCCCAACAAGTAGCAAAAACAAGGGCACACACACACACACACACACACACACACACACACACACACACACACACACACACACACACACACACCATACCAGCTTCTACAATGGCCGGCTTGTTGCTGGGGCACACAGAGAGGACTTTGAGAACACGGCTTGTGGTCCACAGCAGCTTCTCATAGTTGTAGTTTCTCATGATGTGAACAAGACCCTCGGGACCCCCGTTGGCGAGGATGATCAACTGTGAAACAGAGAGACTGTCAGTTTGTGCTGCTTTTTTTTAAAACAATAATAATTATTATTTTTTTTACATTACAATCCCATGCCATGTGCATGAAACGAACACCTGCTGATTATATTCTTATTTTATTACTTGTAAAAGAGTAAAAAAATTAAAGCAACCACACCCAAACATCAACACTAAGCCAGCACCTGAACACGTCTGTTCTCACGCCACACCCAAAACAAAAACATGTGCTCAGAAATCCAGGTTTCACATTACAATATTTGGCAGCTTCAATGTGTAACACTCTTTGTCTTGCATCCAAAAGCACACAATGTTCCACCCTCTCACTCTCACACACACACACACACACACACACA